GTCTCATAGCCTGCAAAACCTTACTCACTAGAGTAATCTAGCTGAAGACAGTGGGACTTTTCACATGAGTCAGAACTACTCAATAGCAAAAGTCACTTGTGTGAATAAGGATTTGCAAGATTTGAAGTCAGTGATTCAATGGGTAAGGACTACTCACATGAGTAAAAGCAATGCAGGATCAGCTTGCATGTTAAGTAAAAGTAGTACAATTAGAGAGGCAGTGCGATTCAGTGGATAGGACACAGGATGGGACAAGCGACCGGACTTCTATGCCACTAACTTCCTGTGCGACTGGGCACATCACTTTGCTTCTTCAGGGCTGACTCTTACTATGAATGCTTACCACACAGTAAGCATTTCAACTGGTACTACTGAAATGCAAATAACAATAATAATATAATGAAACGTGGTTGTACAAGTGAATTGTATATTAAATGACTGTAAAATCTTCAATCTTCATACCACCTGTGAGTCAGAAGAAGTTGTGGGTCTCGGATTCATGTTTGTAGCAACATTTTCTTAAGGTCTGATAACTAGTAATCAAGACAATCAGTGTTTAGCTTTTATTGTGATGTACAGTGCAGTGCAATCTCATACCTACACAGGAAAAAATAAAACAGTGAAGTGGAAACCCCAGAAAAAACTGCAGAAATTACAAGGTGTTTTTCAATGTATCTGTTTATTTGAAAACTGCCTGGTGCAATCAGGTTTGTCTGTCTTTTTTTAGAGGGACTTTAGAAGTAGCAAGAATTTGCTGTCGGTTCTGATGATCCAGTTACCTAAGTCTCCTCCAAGAATAAAATTGCATATGCATAAAAAACTAAACAGCTAGACCAAAAACATTTAATTGATTTTTTTTTATTTGACACTCACATTACAAAATTTAGAAACCAGAGACAGTTCAGGCAAACTGTTAAAACACAGTATAAATTAGGTTTGTAATATATAAATTCTATACATAGGTAAATTAGCTTGAACATGACTGACAAAAGGGGTCACCACAGCTGTATAAAAAGGCATCAGAGTGGGGTGGATACAATAATCATGAATGCAGGTTAAGACGTTTTCCACAAACAGCTATAAAGCCTACTGATGACCATGCTATTTTTGCAATGTTTATGCAGGGTATAGTATGCACATTGCCATCAAAATTATGTAAGGTCTATGTACAGTCACAAAATCATAATAGCCATTATCAAGTAACCTTCCTGTTGCCTGCCTGTGCAGTTAATATAGTGTCAATATTAACTGAGAACTCCTATTTAACAAAGGGTGTTACTGGGATACCTATTTGACCTGAATATGAAGGAACTTGGGTTTAAAAAGAACAACAACAAAAAACAAAGAAACAAGTGGCAGGAAAAAACACAGCTACTTCAGTACCCGTGCTCAGGTGCTCAGGAGACACTTGCGTTTTTAATACCATATTTCTTTCAATGCCCAGTTTGGTTCTTGCTTTATAAAAATATCTATCACAACATAGTGTCCAGTTTTCTAAGCACAGTTGCGCAGGGAGTTGTATAGCAGAGGGGTAAAAACAGAGTTTTGATAACACCACCGGTAAAATTTGGTAGACGTTTGGAATGTAGAGTAATGCTTTTGAGTCCATTTAGGAGCCAGCTGTAGCAGATGCTGTCACATTTCATAGAACTTGCTAAAAGTGCAACAACTCTTAAATCACATTTCTGTCCTATGCAAGTTGAATACTCACACTTTTTAAGATTCATGACATACATCCCAGTGTTCTGAACCCTGGATGTCGATTTATTTTCCATAATTGTTACACCAGCAGTTTCACTCTTTTTTACAGATTGCCTCCTCGGGGAAGTTACTAATTGCACATGTGTAAGAATCATATCTTTAAAAGCTTCCTTTAATTTAATAGCAGTGAGCTTGTCCCTTTCACTGAGTGTGAAGAGTTAATGGGATAAGTAAAGAAATACTGAACTGTAACAATTCATCCCAGTACAAGATCCAATACATCCTATTGCCAGATACAGGCCATAGAAATCTGAGAGAAAAGCATACTGTAAACTTTAACCAGGCTTGGTCTGCTATAAAAACACATAGGAACTCGTATTCCTCAGCCCCTCCCCCAACTCGCTACCCAGGTTACACTTCAAGAGCCATTATCCAAACAAAGGTCTGGACCTTAGCTACCAATTTATGGGCATGACTGTGAGCCAAAGCTCCTTCATCAGATGATAAACACCACTCCCCCACGACCCCCTTTCTTTTTGCGAATACAGACTAACACGGCTGTTCCTCTGAAACCTGCCATTATCCGGTTAGTCATTCCAGGAAAACAGGAATGTTAAAAGGTGCTCATTATAGGAGTGACATAGTATTGGTTAGATACAGATACCTGATAGGGTTACAGCTGTCTGGAAAGTACCAGTGCTCCAGTACTTTCTGTAGTGAACTGGGTTTAGATGGCAGCCCACAGTGCCTTGAAGGGAGGTTGGCTAGTTCAAATATTTGACTTACAGGATGTTTGAGCGTGTGAATCCAGAGTCTTCCCCCCTTCAGCAAGGCCTGGGAGCTTCACAGAAGTAGGAAGATTTCCTGCTGCTGCAACAGTAGCCTGAGCTGGCTGTTTTATATGGCAGGTGATGCTCTGAAGGGAGACCTACCCCTGGTCTTCTGGCCAAGGGCACTAGGGTATGATTACAGAGCCTGCATATGTCACAGGAGGACATGAAACGTCTACTGAAGTTTTGGAAGAGCTGCTTCTTAGGCAGAAGCCCTCCTCAACAGAGGCAAAGGCATCCAGGAGGAAGTTAGCAGCTTTTCTAGGCTCACCCAGATTTCTTCAATTTGCAGGGCAACTATCTGAGTCTGCCCACAATGGCAGAAAGGGAGCACAGATGGGAGTAAGTCAGTCTCAAACAGGAATCATGGCTGAGAGGAGCAGACAGACAACAAGAAAAGTCCCAGCAGTTTTAATTGGTCTGGCCTACTGCTTAGGGTGACCATACATCCCCTTTTGGCTGGGACAGTCCCTTTTTTAAGCCCTGTTCCAGCTGTCCTGACTTTTTTTTTTTTTTGGACAAAAGTGGGCATTTGTCCCGTTTGCTCTTGTCAGCTGATCAATGCCAGCCCCAGCCTCGCAGGGGGGAGGGGGCAGCAGGCAGGGCTCGGGTGAGCAGCGACCCCATGAACTGGAACCATAAACTCACTGAACATTAAATCTCACCAAACGAGGGTCAATCCATCCTCATCATCGTATCCACTCACTATACTCCACACCTGAACATAGCCATTATATGAACAACATACCCCCATAGCTCAATGTCTGTACTTTGACCCATCAACCTTTTACCCCCAGTCGGGGATACTGCAGATTATGTATTCCTTACGCCACCCGATCTTAAACCAAACTTCGCACCCATTGATAATCTGTACGTTATTCCCTGATAAACAGAAACTTCTATACTTAAACTCTGTACCGTTCACTTTTTTTAAACATCATCTTAATAAAATTTTTAAATCTGCATAAGCAGTTTTCCCAAATGGAAATCCATTGAAAATAATTGAATTAGAAAGCCATAAGAGTTACCGTGAGTTGTCTAGAAATTTCTATGCTTCATAACACCTCAGTGCCTGGTGTTACTAGCTCACTTTCTTGTAGTTCTGAAGAGTTCTTCACCTGTCAGTAATGGGAAACTATTGGAGATTATTTTTTATTATTTTATTGCTGATATAAAATTATTAGAAAACTTTAGGGAAACGTCCACCCCCAAACTGTTAATGGAATCTTCTGTTGCTATTGTCCCCTTACTTATTAAACACGTGAGTGAAGCAAGGCCATCCTGCTCTCATCTATTTTGGGAATTTATTTCTTGGTTGGGCCATGCATAAATCACAGATGTAACTGACAAATTTAGGGCCTGCCCCTGCCCCTGAATCCAGTGGGAGTTTTGCCATTCATGTCAATGAGGGCAGGGCAGGATTTTTAAAGCCTGCAGGCTGCTGAGTGCCCTCACCTCCCACTGAAGTGACCTTGCAGGAAGCAGTCAGTCTCTCTCAGGCTCAAACCTTGAGAGCCAACTTTTACAAAGTGCTCAAAGCCTCATGTGAAGCACGGCTTGTCCTCAATGTTCACTCAAGTCAGTGGGAACTCTGGACGCTCAGCATCTGTGCAAAACAGATCACTTATAAACAGGTGCCTCCATGTGGATTTAAGGGCCAGATTTTTAAAGGTATTTAGATGCCTAAAGATACGATTAGGCATCAAATGGGATTTTCAAAAGCCCCTTGGCACCTAACTCCAATTAATTTAAATGGGATTTAGGCAGCTTGGTTCTTTAGAATATACCACTAGCCGTCAATTGCATCTTTAGGTGCCTAAATACCTTTGTAGATCTGGCCCTTAGGTGCCTAATTTTAATCACCAGGTTTGAAAGTTTTGACCCAACTATTGATCCCCACAAGGATCCCCTGAGACTTAATTCAATAGGTTTTGGAAAGTTCTTTAAGTTCTTGAAATGTGCCGTAGGAGTGCTAAGTATTATTAATTATTATTATTAGAAAAATAATATTTTTAGTTCATATCTTCGGAGGAATAGAATCTCAGCTATCCTAGCCTCCTTCTGATTGTTAAAGAACGAATAAAATTTCCACTTTAAAAAGAAAAGGAGTACTTGTGGCACCTTAGAGACTAACCAATTTATTTGAGCATAAGCTTTCGTGAGCTACAGCTCACTTCATCGGATGCATACTGTGGAAAGTGTAGAAGATCTTATTATATACACACAAAGCATGAAAAAATACCTCCTCCCACCCCACTCTCCTCCTGGATTTGTGCTGGAAATGGCCCAACTTGATTATCATACACATTGTAAGGAGAGTGATCACTTTAGATAAGCTATTACTAGCAGGAGAGTGGGGTGGGAGGAGGTATATTTTCATGCTTTGTGTGTATATAATAAGATCTTCTACACTTTCCACAGTATGCATTCGATGAAGTGAGCTGTAGCTCACGAAAGCTTATGCTCAAATAAATTGGTTAGTCTCTAAGGTGCCACAAGTACTCCTTTTCTTTTTGCGAATACAGACTAACACGGCTGTTACTCTGAAACCTGTCACTTTAAAAAGCAGATCGAGCGATACTGCAGTTCCAGACAATAAAAGGAGACCATTAGCACAATGAAGTCATAATATGCCTGCTATAAAGATATATACAGTAAGGAAAATGACCACTCAGAGAGTACACATAAGCCTTAGAATTGTTATGAATATGTCTATGAATACTGCCCTGGATTTGGTTGGAATTTAACAGGTTTCTAATGTCATCATTTTGGAACTGGTTCCATTTCAGTAGCTGTCATTTCTAAATTTTGACTTGTAAAATACGCCTATTGACTATTTTTACACTCACATACAAAAAACCTATTAACAGCATCAAAATAACACTGGTTCCCAGGCTGAAATGATTCTGCATCCACCCCGCAATTAGCCGCTTTGGGCAAAAGCTTGAGTAAACAGAGGAACTCTACAGCAAACTCAATCTCTGACAGACAAAAAGGAAAGGGAGAACCATGGTCCCACCACTGAGAATGCCCTGCCTCTAGCCCTACGTATTTAGATCCAGGAACTATTAGAAAAGTAGCCCAGCCGACGTCAAACCTCATGACAGAGCACAGGAGAGTGGTGGTCTCTCAGGTGGCCATAACCAATATCCTACAGGCCTTTAATTGATCAAAATCAACGCCCTGAATTGCACCCCAGAAGCCAATGTAGCATTATGGGAATAAGTGCAATATATACCCTATGGATAACAATTCAAACAGGCAGTTGCACCCTATACCAGATGAAGCTTCTGAGTGCCTTCAAGGGGAGGCCAACAAGGGAGGACCTTGCAACACACTCAGGTACAGGTTACTATAGCGAGGACAGCAGTGGGAAGTGATGGCTATAACCTTTCTGGCTAAAGCCATACACAGACCCAGCCAACTTTCTCATGAGCCTTGTTTGTTTGTTTTTTATACCCAACAGCAGTTCTGATAAGTTATGCACATGATTCTTCGCTCTTTACTGGGGGAAGTTACCATTGACTTCAATGTAGAACTGAACGCGTTATGCTAGTCAGAAAAACAGACTGGGACAGCTAAAATGCCAACACTAAGCCTGTAATTAAAGGAGGAGGAGTTCAGTAGCACGTGGCATTTTTTATTTCCGTTATGCTTTTGCGTGGTTCTTTTTTCGAACCTGACCCCTGCCTATCTTTATGTCCTTATGCTCACAAACAGTACCGTGGGACTGCTCATGGAAGTGAAACAGGTGAAGTCCTCTAGTTTGCTTTGCTCTAGTTTTAGAGTTCTGGTTTGCACCTGGTCTAAACCCAATTCATTTGCAGTCATTTCATGTTTATATTACAATAGCACCTTGGTTTCTGCAAACACAAAGGCAGATGCGGTCCCCGCTCCAAAAAGCAAACGTCTCCAGGGAAAGGAAGTGGTGAGCACAGTCCAGCACATAAAAAGTCAGAGTAAAAATGGGGCGTTGCTAAGTCTTTACTCTAGTGCATTGGCACACAGAGGGAAACCTCTTCATCTCTCAAATGCACTGCTGAGTCCAAAAATCTAGGCTGCTCTTCCTCCCCTGCCCCGCTCCGCTCCCTGTGTCCCAATATCATGTTGCACTGGAACCAAAGCTAAAGTGAGGAGACAGAACAAACCCAATGAGTTTCCTCACACAATCACCTTCTATCACCTGCCAATAAGGTAAGGCGCCTTAAAAACACCGCTCTCAGCATCAACAGAATTAAGGAATAGTTTAAACAGAGGTAAGTAGGACTTGGAGCCATTTGCTTCCCACAGCTTTCAGTGTAAGCAGGACATCTGTATTTTGTCTCATCTTTAGTTCACGCCCCAGAGAAGTCTGCCAAGATTCACAGTAAGAAAGGCAAGAACAATTGGAGAAAGAAGAAATAACTAATTTTCACAGTTCAAATCATTCTATGTAAAAATTCATGGGGTTTGCATGACTTTTCATGCAGATGTGGTTTACATGAGTTTTTATCCATGGGCAGCTTATCTCCGCTGAAGTCAGTGCATTGTTCAACAAGGCAGGAGGCTGCTGTTGTAAAATAAAATCCTTCTTTCCTTCCTTAGCAATTAACCAGATTGCTGTTGCATTTTACTATACTCAGAAAGGATTTAGGGCGCTGCTGTTTGAAGCACCTGCTTCTGAAATGTGCACACTGCGTCTTTAGTTTTCCATTGACGACCATTCTCTGTTGCAGCACCATGACTCTCCTTGCTCTTGTTTTGTTTCCTTCTGACACAAGGTTACAGTGATACTGACATAATTTGTGGCCATCCCAAAACTATCTGTTGTCCTTCCTCTCTTGAGTAATTAGAAAAGCATAACTGTGCATATGGTAAGTCAATTCTGTTAATTTCAATGGATGAATCCAGTTCATCACATTAAGCAGTCCAAAAATAAAAAGGAAGAAAAATAAAAACTAAATCCCAAATAGGCATCTTTGGAATCAGTAGTGCAAAATATTTTTGCTGATTTTTTTCTTGTCGTACTGCAATAATCTGAGTCTTCAAGTCTTTCCTAAAATAGTAGACCTGCAAATATGAAACATTACAATAATGAAGATTAAACAAAGAAGCATGCATAATTAGTGCTTTTTGGTTTTGGCTCATTCAGAATTATCGGTGAGGCTTTATTTTCATTTACATTAAAGCCTGTTTACATTGGTCCAGCAGTATGAAGGAGCCTTAAGGTGGATATAAATGACACTGTGGCAGTGTTTTACATCCACTCCCAGGCACCTTTACACAGCCAGAGAAGTCTAAATAAGACCTGGGCCCTTTTTATTTACAATGTATAATTTATATTAGGACTATTATTTTATCAGTCCAGTTACAGCTTTGCAGACTAGGGCCTTAAGCTGAGAACACCTTCAGCACAATCAACAAGACACATATTTGATGCCAATCCAATTAAGAAATTTTCAAACTTCAGTCAAGTTTAATTCTTGACTATCAATGTAGTGCATGTATTGTAATTATGGTTTTATAAAATGAACTCCTACCTCAAGGATTTCCATCTCTCTTTTTCAATCTGGTTCTCCGGGCTTTCACTTTCATAGGAAGCCAGATACAAACCTAATAAAAAATTGTTATTCAAATATCATCAGGAACCCCAAATCCCTTTGCTTCCTCAAACTACAGTCATTCACTGTGAGTTTTGCTGGTACACGTTATCTTCCTCATCTATTGTCACTACTGTATCACACAATAAGCAGAATGTTTTTAAAAATCAAGGGCGGTTAAGTGCCTAACTCTCACTGAAAGCCCTGGGTGCCAAAATCCCATTTGCGCCTTTGAAAAAGCGGCCCCAATGCTTTATCAAAAAGTAAAAAATCAAAGGACTGACAGCTGAAGAGACAAGACCCCAGTCTCCTACATTAAATTAAATTCACATAATTTAACACTGAATTTAATTCCTCCCCCACCCCCCATTTTCATCTGCAACCTCTTCAGATTCCTTAAGAGACGGCATGTTAAACCAATAGCACACTAGGTAAGAATGAACGTACAGCAGCCAGAGCGAGAAAACGCAACACAGAAATGACACCCTCATGACATATATAATCGTATAAACTGGTCTACATTTACAGACCTTTTTTGAAGATCCCTAAACTACAGGATGCGTTATATAGTGCAAAAATAAGGGTACGCATTAAAGATTCCATCTGTGTGAGCTGGTAGTGCGTTACCATCTAGCTTGCTTTATGGACTTTTATAAGTAGGTCATAGTTTGTATTCATGGACACTTTTGCATTCCACTGTTTAGTTATGCTTTATTCTGTAATGCCACAGTCACCTTTGTCTTTTATTCTGTGATATCATTCAATGAATGTTTTAATATTCAAAAGTTAGCCCACTATTACTCTGTACTGTGGCATGGAGAGCTTATTTGTTTTACTTGACCAGTCAGCGCTCTCTCTTTTATTCATGGTGGGTCTTTCTGCTCCCCACTTTACCTTTGGCAGTCAGGGAGGCCAGCTGTAGCCTGGCTTCTACTGAGGGCATCTCATGAAGCCGGCATGAATATGACCCTTTATGTGGGGGAGAGGGTCTGCAAGCAATTAGGGAGTTGAGGTCACCATGCAGCCTGAAAACAGCCCTTCTGAGATATCTACAACCACCGACACATAGTACCCTAAGCAGCACCTGAAGCCCCCATTCCCCCTCCTTGCCATACATATTGCTTTAATCACTTTAATTATTCCTTTTTGGCAGTCATTCCTCATGGGATTGGAGCTTAATTTTCCTAGCTGTATTTTGACTTCTGATGTGGCCTATGAAGTAACAACTGACTGGTGTGATTAACTTGGATGGTTGTAGAAAACTGCCCATAGAATCAAAAGGAAAAATAAACCCAAATGCAGCCTAGCTTATGGGAATGTAGCTGCTGTCACTTGATATGTCTGACATGATGTAACAGGATGAGAATGAAATAATTCCATATGAAATGAAGCAGTGTGACAACCTAGATTCCAAAATGGAAAGGGTAAGAGAGGAGACGGGGAAGAGAGATGGGACAGGGACTAATTTCGGAAAATGAATTTGGTCATATTTTAAAGTACTTACTATGGAAGATTTGTCTTAAAATACTTAAAAACAAAATAAAGTGTATCCTCATTCGAGCAAGGGACGTGAGTTGGACTCCCACAGCCTGGGGCTCTGGAGATCTTCTGATTGGAGAGCTGAAATTGTTGATTGGTAGGGAAAGGTAGCCCTGACCTCAGTCCCAGAAGTGCTTTTGGCTAGAGGATGATTGACATTCATGATAGTTCCTGATGTGACTGCTCAGCCTCATTCCTTGGCTGAGAAGCAGTACCATCCTGGTGACTTACTACAGGCGGAGACGTGGTGGAAAAATGGTATAACAATGACTTAATGGGCCAGAATGTCATTTTCACAGTAGCACGCTGGATAGAGTGGTGAGGAGCAAGTTAAGAGGCTAGAAAGAAGCAGCTTGTAGTGGTCAAAGTGAGAGATCACCAGAGCACAGATAAGGGTTTTATCAGTGGTGATGGAGAGACAGTCACATTTATATTATTTTGAATGGTTAAAAATATATATGGATTTCTTACCATCTTCAGTAAAGATGGGAGCTGTATGCAAGTAGTGGATGATGTTATGGTCTTGTTCAAATGGGCATTCCACTTGCTTCCATGTTATAAACTCGCCTACTTGTTTAGCCAGTTCCAGGAATTTCTGCAAATATTATAAAGTCCATTTAGCACAAGAACATCATATTGCTGAAAGGATCACAACTGGGCAGAGGCTGCAGATTTCCTAATGCAAACTGCACGGATATGCATTTGCAAAGGAACCCCATGAAATTCAGAAGGGAGCATTTTCTGAATAAGACTTCTCCTTGGTTTCCATACTGTGCTGAAAGGGGAAGAAGCAGGGCTGGGGTACCCTATATTCCATCTTCACATGAAATCCTGCTCTACTCTCAAGTAGAAATAAGCAATTTACGGTTTCCATACATAGGGTTTGCTCCAGAATGGATGGCATAAAACTCAGTGCCATTCTGGGATGAGTCCCAAGTTTATTACATCTCAGAAATTTAGAATACTGCTTTGTACAAAATGCTTTACAGGAATATATCATATAAGGCTTCATGCAATATATGATAGAAACGACAAATGCATTAGATCAAAAATGGCGTGTGTAAATCGATGTAAATTAGACCTCCCAGACTATCACAGGCACCCTTTCCAATCCTTACACTTGTTCTACCGAGGCACAAGGATGCCCACGGTGTTCTGAGTTAAGCTGCATCTACATTGCAAGCTAGGAGCATAATTCCCCTGCTTGCATTCACCTCCTTGCAGATGCTCGATGAGAGCTAGCGTAGCTGCGAAGGCATGGGCAGTGGCAGGAGTGGCATGGCCTAGCTGTGCCAAGTACAAACAGTTCTGAAAACGGTGGGTATGTACTCAGCACAGCTTAGCCACGCTTCCACGGCTATGCTACTAGCTCTCACAAGCTACTGTATGTGTTTGCGAGCAGGGGATCACATCACTAGCTTGTAGCGAAGGTAGAGCCCGACTGTAAGAGGTCATCTAACTTACAACACCTTAAGCACCACTCACAAGCAACAGGCTTGGCTCACTGTGTGGTGAAAGCTTTCTGCCACAATGCCTCTAAGGGAGGCAGAAACTTAGAGTAGCAAGCAAAAGAGAAAAGATGTTTTCAGATGAGATTCAGAAAGCACCTGAGAGCTGATGGAGCAAATGTTCTTCTTATTTATACAAGGGCAATTGTACAGAAGCTGCTTCGTCTCTGCATTTTCACAGAAGTTCAAGAATACAGCAGGGGTGATGCGTAACTCGATATTAAAAAGTGGAATGCATGTACATTGCATTCAGCATCCTGTCACATTAGTGCAACACCACTCTCTAGTGTATGGATTCAGAATTACTCAATTATTTATATGCAGTCTAGTTGTAGCTGTGTTGGTCCCATGACATAGAGAGACAAGGTGGGTGAGGTAATATCTTTTACTGGACCAACTTCTGTTGGTGGGAAATACAAGCTGTCAAGCCAAACAGAGCGCTTCTCCAAGTCTGGGAAAGGAACTCAGTGTTATAGTAAAAATGGACTGTCCAGAGACACTGGATTTATGACAGGTTTCAGAGTAGAATTTATGGCTCACTACAACTAACCCCCTCTTCTTGTTTTATGACTGTAGAGGAGTTATGGGCTATTCTAGCTTAAATGGTCCCTTACAATATGTGCTAACTACTTATGCTGAACAATCTGGTACACCTTGTATTTAGCTGTGATGCTGGGAGTTCCTTATTACCTCACCCTGTCTCTCAAGTTAACTATTTGTGACTATTACCATCTAGTGTCTGGCCTACGGAGAGGACACATGTCTCTCTACTGTGTATAATGGTGGTTAATGCAAATTCTCCTTTTGTGTAATCAGTAAAGGCTTCCAAGCAGAAGATCATGAGTTTTAATTCCCAGGCCAAATGTGTGTGATTTACCTGATGAACATGGTGACTGTACAGATGAGGCCTTATATAGTTGTATTCTTATATTTACATAATGTTTGCAATTGGTTGACAGGGTATGCCACCTCCCAAGCACCCCCTTGCGGCCCGAGGTTGCGTTGTAGGCCCCTGCCTCAGCTTCCCCTCTTCAGAGGGCTCCTTAAATACACTCCACACAGGCTTTTTGTGGCAAAGCCACCCCTCCTTGGGTCTGGGTTTATTAACATAAAATAATCTCAGAATAAAACTTCAAATCCCAAGTTAAAGTCCAACAAAAGTCCACACACACAAGTTTACTCCTGGGGAGATTTTCTGCACTGGTGTGGGGGCGCATAATTCATATGACCCGCATTTTTCTGTGCCCCCATGCAGAAAAATGAAAAAAAAAAAAAAATCTGCCGGGGGACATGCGTCTCTTCCCCGATAGCCTGGGCAGCACGTCAGTTCCAGCATGCCTGGAGCAGCCTCAGAGACGGGGGTGGGGCGGGGCATGCGTGCCTGCGTGGTCATCGTCGGGGTGGGGGAGGGCTGAGTATACGTGTGTGCCAACAAGCGAGAGAGAGAGAGACTCTCCCTCCCCTGACTACCGCAGCTCATTGGCGTGTAAGGGTAGGCCTTTTTATTATGCAAGAGGCAGGCTAGAGGTACACATAAAATTTCTCTTCCGACTCCCAGGCCTTCCTACCAGGGGTAGGGTTGCCGATTTTGGTTGGATGTATTCTTGGAGGTTTTATCACGTGATATAATCTTTAATTAAGGATTCATCTTTAATTCCTGAAGACTCCAGGACAATCCTAGAGGCTTGGCAACCTGAATCAGGAGCTTCTCCTGCTTTGGCAGGCGACTCCCAGGCCCTACCTGGCTGGAGTCTTCTCCTTCTTACACCCTTGGAGTCTGTTCTCCCTGGCTCTCAGCCTTCTTCAGCCCTCCAGCTCTGGCTTCCAAGTCCAAACCCTGCCCCCTGCGGGAGATTCCTGCTCATAGCAGGTCTTGTGCACTCTTGGCCCCAGCTTCCTCTGGTTTTCTCTTCTTAAACACCCATTGATCCCTGCCCAGGTGTGCCTACTTCATAACTAATGGCGTCTCGCCCCTGGCCTCTATCTCTTAAATGGGCAAGCCACCCTGTTAAAAAGCCTGCTTTGGCAAACCTCCCTATTTTCTTAACCTACAAAATGAGAAAACGCTACTGTCCTTGTACACAAAAGTATCAGGCACTGTACACTGACTTGCTTATCTATGGATACATGGTAAATATATTTCTCCTTTGTCTTTGAAAAATTCCCCTTTCCTTCCAGACTGTTTGTATAATCATTGATGCTGCTGAAACTGTATTTATGCCAGCTAACCCACAGGACTCAAGTTAGGATCTGCCACTCATTCGGCATTAGAAACTCCTTGCTTTTTTGGATCTCTGAATGGAATGTTTTTCTCTCTATATATGAATTCTTTTTAAGGAAATCCTGGGATTGGTTTGCCCTTCAAGGAGGATCACACAAGGTCATTCCTTTTGTAGGATCTAGTCTTTGTCAGACTGCACTGAAACGTGTGCAAATGGTCTCAGATAGTGCTATCAGGATGGAATAGATAAAGACATTTGCAGATCTTACTTCAAAGTTGACGTGCCCATTCGGAAGGCGATTAGCACATCCTTCATTCAAAAAGTAAATGTCTTTGATCAATAGGCTGAAGAAAGGGATCACAATCTGTGAAGGGAATGACAACGATTATCTTTGTGGCTCCGTATTTTCACTACAGGAAAGAAAAGTTCAGTCAGAAGGGAAAAAAAAAGATTAACTTCCCAATGTACTGTTCTATTATAAAGCAATACAATGACAGACAAGCACCAGGGAAGGAGGGTACAAAGGTATTTTCAACGATCTGGGGGATGGCTGCACCATTGAAATGAACATTCTATGGGCACTATGGGCAAAAAATGAAGCAATAATTACAACTGCGCTCCAATTCCTTCTTCATATTTCAGTGGCATCACTTTCCTGAGCAAAGATAAGACTCTTCTGTCTACAGAGTTGTTTTATAAGCCATTGGATTCACCAACAACAATTTAAAGATAGCCAGGATCCAAAGAATACAATGAGGATGGAGAACCCTTGCTACAGACACAGTTAGGTGAATGCTAACAATCACACCAAAATAAACAAGCATGGAATAATGAAATCTTGTGACTCAGGGTGTGTCTCTGCATGGATTTACTCTCCTGAATAATTCCATGTGCGGACACTCTTATTTCAGAGTAAGAGTGCCACGTTCTTGTGTAGATAAACCAAAAAGGGGCCAAAACTCTAATCTGAATAGCAGAAGTTCTAATGACTCAGATGAAACAGAGTGATTGACACTGAACCTTTGGCAAAATGCTTTGCCACTAATGGCAAAAGGCCAGGTCTTCAGACGGCCTAGATCAGTATTACTCCATTGACTTACAATGGAGTAATGTGGATTTACACTGGCTGAGGATGTGATCCACAACCAGCAAAATTATGGCTTCCACTTTACTTCTCCTGATTGGAGAAAAGTAGTGTTTTGACCAGGGGTTCTCAACCAGGGGTACGTGTACCCCTGGGACTACCCAGAGGTCCTCCAGAGGGTACATCAACTCATCTAGATATTTGCCTAGTTTTACAACAGGCTACATAAAAAGCACTAGCGAAGTCAGTACAAACTAAATTTTCATACCAACAATGACTTGTTTATACTGCTCTATATACTATACACTGAAATGTAAGTACAATATTTATATTCTGTGGTAAAAATGAGAAAGCAAGCAATTTTTCAGTAATACTGTGCTGTGACACATTTGTATTTTTATGTCTGAATTTGTAATAAGTAGTTTTCAGGTGAGTTGAAACTTGGGTGTACACAAGAAAAATCAGACTCCTGAAAGGGGCACAGTAGTCTGGAAAGGTTCAGAGCCACTGGTTGAGTCCATAATCTGCCAGCATCACAAAACGTCATGGACCCTGGGTGCAACACTAATTCATCCCAAGATGCTGGTATGAAAAGCTATAGACTAAAAGGCAAAAGGACCAGTCTGGCACCAATTTTATCAAGGCCACATGAAAAAAGGAGGCAGTGAAGAGATCTGGAGAAAGAAAGGTGTTTATTTTATTTCTGGTTTGGTGGAAATGAAGATGAAAAGTCAGAGACACTCCTGCAAAGGCTCAGTAAGGGCTATCCTTTGGAATACTGAAATTAAACGCTTGGTACATCAAGAAATGTCAGTAGTAATCAGAAAGACCTAATCAAAGAGGCCTCTGAGCACTCAAAACAAGCACTGGGGATCATCTGGGGCAAACTGGAAGACACACTCAGATCCAAAGCCTTCCCTCTAACCAATATGATGCACTATCATCTAGCTTTATTTTGTATAGAAGGGGCCTAATTCCTCCTTTAGTGTAAATCTTCTGAATGCAATGGAGTTAGGTTAGAGAAGAATCTGGCATTACAAATTCTAAAGTTGGATCTAGGAATAGGGTCCTGGTATGAAGCTTTGAGCATCCTGGTATGGTTATAGACTGCAGTGGGCCTATCTCAAGGTGGTATAAGGAGCTCTCATGACACAAGGGCCAAACCCAAATGCTGAGAGCTATGGGGCAGACCAGCTAGTGACCAAGCATCTTTTCAGCAAGGACACCAGAACCAGAGATCAAGTTTGTGTCTTCACTCTTGTTGTGTGGGCAGATCATACTAGGGAAAGGCCACTCAGAGGGCTTGGTCCAGTGAGTCAGTACTAAACTAGCGAGCATGTCTTGGTAGCTGCCACATCTGCCATTTAAGTAGCTGAGTATGGGCTCGATCACTGTGAATGGACATAAGAACGCGCCATGTGGGTTTCAATATCCAAGTGGATCTACTGGCCACTTAGTAAATGAGTTGAACTATCTCTTAAGTGAAAGTACAATAGCTTTGAGGAAATGCAAGGCTATGGGAATTGATGACAATGAAGGAACCATTTAGTTAAGTAGTAAAGGTTATTCAGTCTCATGCTGAACAGCAGCTGAAGTGGTATCTGAAGTGGAACTAAGGTAGAATGTCACCAGTGATTTTCCAGTCTACAGCCTTCACAATGCACCAATAGGGAGTGCAAGCACTTGATAGATACTAAAAAGGAAATGTAAGCAAGGACTCCCAAAACCAGAATGCTGCTCTTGTTATAAAAACAGAAACCACTTTCTGGTCTAACTGAGGTATTGCATCGAGTGAGCTGCTGAAGGGATGCCTTCCTGTGAGTTTCTTTCTGTGAAGGTTATTGAGGATTTCTTGAATGTAAATGTAGTGCTCCCAAAGGAAGGTCAGACTGGTTTCCCTGGAGACTCCAGTACTATATCGATTCATAGAATGGATACAGTACGGGAAAGGGCGCACTGAAAACTCCAACACATTGGGCCTGATCCTACGAAGTGCCAACAAATGGCGAGTTGACGCTGCTTTTAGGATTGGTCCCATGCCTGGCCAACGAACCTGAAGACTTCCCTACAGGGAGCAGCCCTGATGGAAAGAGACTTATTCAGTCTAGGGCCAGGCTGCTGAGGCTACCACGTAATGACAGTTGTGGCAGTCTTTTTGTGATCTGGAAACGCGTCCACTAGAAATTGAAGTGAGTCACTTAGATCACCATCTGGAAGTGACTGAGATCACTAGTTCTCTTCACATAGGATTTTAATGGTTGCTCAAAGACCAAAAAACCCCAATAAATGTCCCCAATAAGAGTATATCACTCTGTGTGTTTTAGTTTCAGAATCTCTGTAGTGAAAGCAAATACACTAGAGAGTTATATTTGTAAGGCGGGCTATTATCCAGCCACTTAACTAGCACAGAACTTGGGCTACAGCCAGAAATTCACATTTCATTCCCTTTTGATTCCCCCCAAACCTTCCAATCCACCCACACGCCCACAGAGAGAGAGAGACACACAATCGCTTCCTTCAGAAGGAACCAAGTTAAGGAAATCAGACAAGCACTTCCCCGTGGTATCAGATAGCAACAATGTACACAGCCTTACGCTGTACGGAGTCCAACATTTCAAAGCAATTTAGACAAACATCATTAATGCAAAATGGTGATTCCCTGTGGAATGACTTAACTGTGGGGATGACACAGGTCAGCTGACTGCATACATTAAGCAGAGTTAATTTCCCACAAACATGCTCCTTAGAACTCTGCCCAGAATACAAACCCTTTATTGTCACGTGATCTGTCACTCTGCCCTGTGGGGGGCTTATGTCTATTAACTCTGAAATTAGCCACTGTATCATGTCACAGCTTGAAGGGCTGCATTAGCATACTTTTATTTAAAGCCTACTCATTCCTAAGCAAATACAAAATACTCTAAATAAACCATTTACACAGGGAGAAGATAGCTGGGTCAATGTAACAAGACTCTGGGCTAACTTCCAGGTTGAGCCTCCATGAGTACGCTGAGAGGATGGAAGCAACAGGGTGCAGGAAGCACCTTTCCCTCACTACACACATACAAGAGCCAGGCAGAATGCTGACACGAGAACTCCCTGAAAGCAAGGTAAGGGGCGATGTCACCACTCCAGATGGTGCTAGCACCAAAGGGCCCTAGTTAGCTGGGCTGGAGGCTGGGCAGTGTCCATGCCCGGGCAGTAGAGTGCCTCCCCCAACCGTGGCCAAGCTGCATCCCAGCTCACTCCAAGGAGGCCATTGGGTCCTCTAGCTTCACTTCTGTCTAGCTGCCAAGAAGCAGAAAGCTCAGCAAACTGAGACGGTCTTAGCTTCTGACACACATGGAGGAGACAAGAGAAGAAAAATACAGTGCTTAAAAAAAGAAAAAGCATAGCACCAATGGTGTTTGGGGAGCTGCACGTTCAGTTCTTGGCCCCGCCACAAGCTTCCAGTGCGACCTTGGGCAAGTCACTTAGTCTTTGTGTGCCTCCATTCCCCACCTTAAAATGAGGATAATAGCATTGCCCTGCCTCCCTGGAGTGTTGTGAGGAGAAATACATTAAAGGCTGTGAGGTGCTCAGATACTCTGGTTCAGGGGGCCAGAGACATACCTAAAACAGACTGAACAGCCAAAGATATTCCATACACCTAGGTATCGTCAGAGGGAGACACCAGAGAGCCATCCTGTGCACTGATCGCAAAGCAGGAACAAGCAAAAATGCCAGAAAATTGGAAACCACTCCAAACAAGGCAGAATCCATGGTAGCCTACCCCAGCAGGCAGTTGGTCACTATCCTTTTCACAGTGGTTTTATTTATCTTTGGCACACACCACACAGAGAGAACAATGACCTGGAAAAATAGTAAGCACAGCCCAGATCCTGTCTCACCTTGAAAACTTGTGCCTCTGTGTTACAAGGGTGCAGGAGGCAGCCACACTCATACCGTAGCTGGGCAGTGTTCCTATCTACCATTCCCTAGCAAGCTAGCTGGACCACTGGCTAACATGAGATATGGTCTGAATGTGCTCTGGACCTTCTGCTCAGCTGCTATTGCTGCTTCCACACGGCAGGTTTGCAAGGATAGGATTTTGCCAAACATTTGCAAAGCTGAAACAGAAAAAAATTAGCAGCCAGGCCTGTCAATAGCAGCTGGACGTGCTGCCCCACGTCACGGTCTCTGTGGCCCATTTCTGCTTTTTGCTAGCTCTCTTTTGGAATGTACGGCACATCAAGTGTGCACTCGAATGTGAGCAGCCCATGTGCCTGCTTAAACATCCCGAGTATCTGCAAGGCAAATCAGGCATTCAATTAAGGTTCTAAGTTATTCATCTCAAATGCTCAGCTCTGAAAATCTACCCTCTGATTTAGTGTCAACCTTTCATTCAACACTTAACATTCAGCAAAGAATAAGGCTATAAAATAAATCCCAAACTCAACAGATCACGTAAGCTGAAGTCCAGATTGTAGGGATTTTATTATTTGTTCAACCATTCCCAGAATGAATGTTTTTTTAGACAACTAATCCAACGCAAAGGTGTCTAGGTAGGGCCACATCCTGGACAAGGCAATGAGACCATTTGTATAAAGAAGGCAAATAAGATGCAGTGGATAATGTAGGAATCGGTGACAATAAAAAGGAGAAAAGAGGATTATTGATGATTGGCTTGTATATGGACTCAGCTCATCCTGTCCAAACCCCAGGTGACGTGGTCAGAGCAGACATCTCTCTTCTCTTTGAATCCCTCCACTGGCTTCTCCTCCAGTGCATCAATCTCTGTTGCTTTGCCTTTAAGACCCTTCACCAGTGAGCCCCACATTGTCTATCAGACCTACTAACATATCAAACTGTCAACTCCCCATCCTCTCTCTCCCAGTGATGCCACTCTCTTGTCCACTTGTCCCTCAGGCTCCTCTGTGCTTTCTCCCATGCCATCCACTATTCATCGGACAAACTGCCCATCAAAATTCATAAACCTTTCCTTTTTAAACCCTCCTCAAAACCTCCCTCTGCCCTTATGCCTGGACCTATTTATCTAGGAACACTTTGGCTATTGACATTGTTTATCTAGTGCCCTCCAGAACGTATCACTTTTTGCCCACCGCTCCCGAACAGAGGGTCTATACACAGCCTGTAGCAGTAAACATAGTTATTCTGCAAGTGATTGGGAAAAAAACATTACCAACATAGTCCAATTTGAAAACAAATAGGTTTCTGTGGTTGCAAGAGGTGAGCTTTGCTAAAAAGACTGACAGAAAACCCTATAACACTTTCCATGGGCTGCGATCACATTCTGTTGTCATTGGATAAAATTCAACAAAATACCTTGACCAGGTAGCTCGCGTATAACACGCAATGAAATTAGGAAGATCTGGGGTCTGAATTATGTGCTGTGCCGTATCTGGGATTTTAATGTATCGAGCAATGATAAGCCACTGAGCTTTAGGCCTGAACACTTTCTTAAGCTAATATGTTATGTACACAAAGGACATAGAAGGTGGGTTTTTTCCTCAAATAAAATAGATTCCTATCAATCTACTAACCTACTGGCCCTTGGTCTTAACTAGGCATAGATAGGAATGTGCCAGAGAACTTCCACAGGAATTAAGGTAAAGTAATAAAGCAGCAGGCTTGAATATATATGACTGTCACCAGAGGAATAGATTGCATAAGGATCTCAAAATGTCAGGTTCTAGATGAAGCATGTGTGAGCTTGTTCAAGGAATTTCTCTACTCTTCATTAATATCCAATTCATCAGCTCATCCCGCAGCCGGGTATTGCTTTTCGGAACAACTCTGCATATTTCCCTTACAACAATGGCAGCCTGTGGACCAGATTCTGACCTCATTTTAGGGTAAATCTTGTGCAACTCCATTGGCTTCAGTGCAGTTACATCAGAGTTGCACAGATGTGACATCAGAATCCAGCCCAGTTCCTCTAGCAATGAATATTCAATTTCACATTATGCTTGTGATTGCAGCATCTGCTTCGCTGCACGCAGAGTGTTTCTCTATTTATAACAATGTGCTATCATAACATTTAAAAAAAACTTTTAACAAACTAAAAATTAGAGTGAATGGGGAAAAAACAAAGAAAATCAGAAGAAATACAACGGAGCTCATAACACTCATAACAGATATAAACATATCTGAAAAGAGATGATAGAAGAAAATAATTCTGAAATCACAACACACTCATAATTAATTATCTTCAAGTTTCATTCACTCACAAACAAGGAATGTGTTATTCAAATGTATCTTCCTCTGGCAAATGCACACTGAGCATTAAAAACTCGGCGGGATTCTCTTTGATTCAGTTTGATTTAAAATTAGGGAAACCTTCCATCCTTTCCTTTCAGCACAGGAGATCTGCTCTTAGATACCGGGGGGCAGCTCTTACTTAGTGCAGTGGGAGCCACTGAGTTAACTCAGAGTTGCATCTGGGTATCTGAAGGTAGAATTAGGCCCCAGGTTTGCTGTAAGTGCCAAACCTGCCTACAGTGCTTTGAGCAAGTCAGGGTCACCTACTGTTCACTAACACTCATCTTTGAGAAGAGGCACCTTTCGCTCACCGTCTCAAGTCAGCCACTACACAAGACGGGCTTGTCTACACAGGGAAACTGACTGGGATAGCTAGAGCAGAATAACTATATTAATATAGAATATTAATAATATAATAACTATTGCACTGTAGCTGCACAGACATAACTCCCCCATGTGGACCCTTTATTCTGGAATAGATAACACTGCTTCAAAGCTGGTCAGTTTCCCTCTGCAGACAAGCCCTAAGTGAACTTTCAAGGGATGTGGAAATGTATGTAATGATTGGGCAGGAGGGGCAGCAAAAGCCATATGGACCACTGCAGATTCACTTAAGTCAGGGGTTCTCAAACTGGCGGTCAGGGGGTTGTGAGGTTATTATATGGGGGGGTCGCAAGCTGTCAGCCTCCACTCCAAACCCCGCTTTGCATCCACCATTTATAATGGTATTAAATATATTAAAAAGTGTTTTTAATTTATGGGGGGGGGTCACACTCAGAGGTTTGCTATGTGAAAGGGGTCATCAGTACAAAAATTTGAAAACCACTGACTTAAGTACTATTTTGAGGTTTGAAGTGGGATTTAAGACTTGTGCATAAGATTTGGGCTGGTGGTGATGGTGGGGTTCACCCTAAGGGCACACTGAGAATTCCAGTGATTAACCACCAGCACTAATCGTCCCCCATCCATTCAGAAATAAACAAGACAGGGACAGACCTACCTTCTCCCTGTTGCTGTGTGCAGTGAGGGATCGGTGGGCAGCCCCTCGCAACGCAGTTCTGTAGTTATAAAAATTACCAGTAGGGTCCATCTGATGCTAAGTGCAAAATAAGACAATTGCCATGTATTTGATCAGAAAGGACTTGGATTCTTTTTTCTCATCAGAATTTAAAACCAAGTTGCAGTAATGGAGATCTGAATATGTACGGTCTAGGGACGGACAACTCGTCATCATTTTCTTGTCACGTTTATGTAGCTTAATGCTTATTTACCGAGACATCCAGACGTGATTTTAGATTAATATAGATCATCATAATGTGGCAGTGTCGGAGAGCTCAGCTAGCACTGAATGAACCCCCTGAATCCAGTCAGTCCATTCGGTAGGGGCTCAGAGTAAAACCCAAGATGGATTCTCTGAGGACAGTCTCTCCTTTGGTTGTTCCAAAGTCCTGGGCAGAGGCCACACCTATATCCTCAGGAGATACATAATTCCACCTAATTCCCTGTAAGTGCTGGCCATGGAAACAGCTAGAAATCTACATGTATAGATTGTGGTTGTTTTTATCTTTGATTTTTATAATAAAATCAGCACAATTCTATTTGAACAAGGTGGCATATATGGGGTAATATCACAGCATCATTGTACATATTAATACAGGCCATACTTAATTAGTACAATACATCAGGCCAAATTCTTGCTCCCCAATGGAAAAAAAACGATGAATGCCTGAATAGGTGGTGCAATATTATGCATTGTTTATATCAGGCTGAATCTGGCAGGCATCAGGGTGAATCCCTGCAGTAATCCGCTGGCACATCTCCATATGACACCGTAATAGCCCCTCACAAAAGCTCCGTGTCCCTGTGTGCCTTGCTTTCGCCACCTCCGAGGTGGAATGGTTTGCTCGGGTGCCGTACACAGAGCACTATGTGTGCAGTGGGAGTTTTGCCACTGACTTCACTGAGAGCAGGATCAGGCTCATGAATGATCCGTTAGAGAGGATTTCATGCCAATTACATCCACTTTTGGCACATTCCATCCAAGCCATCCTACTCTGCCCTGGTGAGTGGAGGCAGAATTCAGATGCTCCAGCTGCTCTCTGCATTATTGTTTTACACCTTCTTGATCATGTGTGCCTCTCCAGAGAGGCTTTGAACCCTAGTCTATGAAGATCCTCTATTCTAGGGATTCTCAACCTTCTTCTTTCAGAGGCCCCCCGAAACATGCTATAAAAACTCCACGGCCCACCTGTGCCACAATAACTGGTTTTCTGCATATAAAAGCCAGGGCCAGCATTAAGAGGTAGCAACCAGGGCCACATGCCACAGAGGGCACTGTGAAGCTAAGCTGCTCAGGCTTCTGCTTCAGCCCCAGGTGACGGGCCACAGGGCTCAGGCTTCAGCCCCATGCAAGTCTACCCCACTGGTCCCGATTGGTGGACCCCTGAAACCTGCTCACGGCCCCCCAGGGGGCCTCGGACCACTGGTTGAGAACCACTGCTCTACTAAGTATTGTGCACCTGAATACATTTGATTAATACAAATAACAAAGCTTTTTTTTTTTTACCTCTAGAATAAAAAATTTGGCTGTTTTCACTTTTGACCAGGTCTTCTTTAACCTGGAGACGGGGCTCATGTTCATCCCAGCTAGGAGGAAAGAAGAAGAGGGGGAAACAGTTAGGAGTCAGGTGTGCTTTTTACAGAAATTATGCCAAACAGAAAAATTCTATTTTGAAGCATCTACCATACTTACATATGATTGCCATCAGTGAATTAAAATTCCCTATGTTAAAGCACTCTCGGGCAACATCAATGAAGAACTCTATGACTTGTGCTCGCTGTTTCTTTTTCGCAGGCTGCAGATTAAATAAATAAATAGTCGTGACAAGCACGTGCAAAATCATAGGCAATGCCAGGCTTTGGTGCCCTACCCAGGAAAATCCTATCTTTACAGCTCTATCAGCTGAAGTTTTTTTAAAAAGCCCAGCTATTGACTAATTTTGTATCAGCAGTTTGATTGACGAATGACATTTGTGACTGGCAGTCTCCTGAATAAAGGCTTTCATTGCAGATGAGGCCAAAACCCTTTCACGGCTCACTCAGCCATTGACCTGGCACTGAAGCAGAAAGCCAGCCTCTAGAGACTACTGACTGCAGGGACAAGTTGTCCAAATAGCTCTAAAGCTACCAGGTAAAAAAATTATTACACACCTGGCTCCACTGAAATCTATGGGAGTTTCGCCTTTGACTTTAGTGAGGCCAGGATTTCACCCCTATACAACAACTGCACCTACATTCTATGGAAGCTTTGTCTCATAATGTATTAAAAACCCCTTTCTCCTATCCTGAAGGTAAATTTACTGCTGATGGAAAAGTAACAGAAGTGGGGAGTGATCCACAGATGAAATAGCACTGACGAGAACAGTGCAAGCTACCCCAAATTCTGCCTGCTAATTTCTTTCCTTCTGTTTTTCCTCTCATCTGTCTAGGTTTCATATCACACTCTTCACCACAGTATCTGAGCACTTGCCTCAGCCCTGACTTGGAAGAACGACATCCAAGGAAGAGACAAGAGTCCACAGGTCATTCAGCTTGACCCTTCTATTGAGACTTTTCACAAGCGTGCCAATCCGAGTTAATTTGGATGGTGGTTGTGGGTTTAGAGATCCATGTCTAGTGGTAACTAGATTGAGATCACCATATTCTTTTCAACTAGGTCACCAAACTGTCAGCAGATGGTAACAATGTTGAGTCACCAACAACTCAACCTGTCAACCCTGGGGTGAAAGGTTCTGCATTCCCTTCCCCTTCCCTCCATGACACATCCTCCACATTTCTAAAACAGGTAAAGCATTTGTGTCATTTACAGAATCCAAATTAAATAATATTGAAAATAAAAATACTTTAAACGAGCGTTAAATATAGATTACATGTGCCGTCATAGGCAGTGCATCAAAGAACCATGTGAAAAGGCCCAAACAATGACACAATGATAACTGTGACGCTGATGGTCACTGTCATTCAGCTCCTCTTCAGTTCTGCACTGGGATGAGATTGCACAGAGACAGGAAGAGAAAGGTCCTAAGAGAGATTCCAATGAGATTTTCATGGAGAATGAGCGTGGTGAGCCATCCACCAACAGAGATGCAGCAGGAACAGCCAGAGGGGGAGGAGAGGAACAAAGACAGGATCACAAAAGCCAAGGCAGGCCAAGATTGCAGGAAAGAGTCTGATTTACAGATTCAAAGGCAGAAAAAAAGTCAAAAGAAGATGCAGATGGAGTAAAAGACATATGAGATCTGGCCACGAGGACGACACTGTAGACCGGGGTAAGATCAGACTCAGGAGATTGGAGAGGGCAGAGTCAGATCAGCAGAGATCCATGATATAGCCGGAGGAGAGGACTCAAGGCAACAGATGTAGACAGCATGTTCAATGAGTGTAGAGATGAAAGGGTGAAGGGAGATGGGGCAGTAGTTTGAGTGACAGGAGGGGGTCAAGGGGGCATTTTTTGAGGCCGGGGGACACCAGGACATGCTTGGATTGTGCAGGGAATAAGCCAGAAGAGACAGAGGGGTTAAGTTGAAGGGGTCAGAGTGGAGGCAAGAGAGGTCAAGTGACAGGGAGAAGGAGGAATGGGATTTCGAGGGGGAGAAGACAAGAAGAGGAGCGGGGAATGGAGAAAGAAGGTTACGGCAGTTCTTGTCTCTTCTCAATGAATGGAAGATTGGAGCAGGCTCATTTGGGATTCAGACACGTACAGATTAAAAGCATTCGGAAGACAGAAGATAAAAAATTTTTTGCTTTTCATTCTTCTCTGGAATCTTTTCAAGGGAGTAAAAAGACATTCATGGCATCATTCAGGTTATTTCTCTTGCAGAGTTCATTATTCCACAACTCCACACTCGCTACACACTCACAGCTTCAACACAATGGATTTTTTTTACTCACTGCATCAACAGACTCCCTCCTTTCCCACCTCCCTGTCCCCTACCCCAGCTCTATTTTGCTATATGTTTGTAATTTACCCGGGTGCTTCTGTGAGCATGTTATTAAAACGTATGTGAACAACTTAACTGGGTCATGAAAAATATATCCCTGGGATTGCTTATTAATGTACCATCTCAAACTGGCACATCAGGCATGTGATAAAACACTGCCACACATTTTCACTTACCATGCAAATTTCTGTTGCCACAAGATAGCAGAGTCTATTGAACCATTTCACATAGGCCTCAAGGTTACTAGTCTTTTTTTGCTCATTGAAACAAGACTGGGGGGGAAAAAAGAAAAGCACTGAATGACATAACTGTATTTTACTTAGATTTCTTGTTTGTTAAGATATATGCTACATAAAGGGAATGATTGTTGCCACTGTTTTGAAACAAATCTCTCTCTCGCACACATTGGCTTATGCATTAAGGATGGAGTTCAGAAAGTCAGTGGGTGGGTGGGTATTGGCAGATATGTGAAGTTTAGCTGAGATTGTTGCTTTATACCAATCAAATAAATGTATGAAGAACAGTCCCATTTTGCTTGCAACAAATGCTCCCCAATGCAATTTATGTTGATCCTTGTTCACTGGAATATTAACAGCCATAGTACTGCAGTATTTAAAGAGCAACATCAATATAAATAAGACAAGCCCAACATTCCAGAACACATTCAGTTTGTTCCTTTGACTCCATGACTTCCCGCAGCTCAGCAAATGCAATCATCCACAGCCTTTTCCTGGACAAGAAAACTCTCTAATTGGTTAAGAGAAAGAAGGGCGAGCAAAATAAAAGACAGTTATGGCTCACCTCTTTTTAGAAAAAAAATTGTTTCTTTCTCTTATTCTCTTGTCTGTTTGGAATGTCTTCTCAGCTGACCTGGTTCTGTTTTGTAGGTTGCCTTGAAACAGGCCAATTGGATCAAGGGAAACAATCAGCAAAAGGTATTACAAGAAGTATAATTCCCTCTTTTTCAGAGTACAGTCTCTTTAGGCATGGGGACAGATCCTTAGCTAGCGTAAGCTGTCCTAGCTCCACTGACTTCAATGGATTTGTTGTCTTCAGTGGAGCGAAGACAGTTTACACCAGCTGAGGATCTGTCCCTGAGATTTTGAAAATTCAAGTCTTACAAAACCCAGCCATAACAAATGCTGGGAATTTCCTTTCTCGGACTCACAGCTTTCTACAGATCTCTGATACAGCTGTACATCTCTTAGCAGCCACTAGAGGGTATTGGTGGCTATTGATTTTTTATTTTAAAGAGGGTCATTTCCCATCCCAACGCAGTCTAAAGCAAACGTAAGCGGAGGAATAGTCCCGCTACTGTGGGGAATTTTCCTGGCTTCTGCACTACCCCAGTGAAGTGGGCTAGCAAAAAGATCAGAGTCCTCGCGCCCACTTCCTTTACCCAGTGGCCTCCCTGCCCTTGAGGACTCCCCTTCCACTCTCCTGTCTGGCAGCGTCCTCGTAACCCCAACAAGGCTGGGCCCAGGATTCCTCGGGGGCTCGAACCCCAACCCTGCTGTGGTCACCTAGGACAGGGGCTAGGGTGTCCCCACTCCGGGGTACTCTCTCTGCACTGGGCACTTCTCTGACCCACTGACCATTACATACAAGTTAAAGCAAATGCAAGTTATTTAATCAACAATTAATTTTAAAAGAATAAGGGAAAATGGGAAAGGTTAAAGGAAACACATCAGCCCGCTCTGTGGCAGGGAACATCACAAACAGTGTCTCTGGAACATCAGGGCAGTTCACTGTCTGTTCCTTGTAAGTCCCAGGCCTTCTTCTCAGGCCCTGGCCGTGCTGCAGGGATGCTGTGGGTTGGACACTTGCTCTGGTGGTGGCCACACGCTCTCAGGCTCTAAGCGGTAGAACCCTTCTTCCCAGCGTCGCCCCCGCCCTGTTGGGGTTACGATCCAAGCCTGGCCTGCAGAACCTCTTGGCTGAGGAGTCTCCCTGTGCTGGGCCTGCTGCCCAGGGTCCCCCTCGTTCTCCCCAGCTGCTCTCCGCACCCAGCTCCGGACTGCTCCAGCCCCAGCTCCACCACTCAGTCTCTGCACGGCTGCTGCTGCTCTGCCTCCAGCTCCCTGGGCTGCTTCTCTGGCCCCTCTGGCTCTGGTTGCTGCAGCTCTGCTCCCAGGACAGGTCTGCTCTGCAGGCTGCTCCTGTGACTCTGCTCCCAGCACTGACCTGCTTCCTGGGCTGCTTTTCTGGCCCCTCTGGTTGCTGCAGCTCTGCTCCCAGGGCAAGTCTGCTCTCTCGGGGCTGTGCCTCTGGCTTTGGGGCTGCAGCTCTGCTCCCAGCACAGGGTCTGCTCTCTCTGGGCTGCTTTTCTGGTCCCTCTGGATCTGGCCCAGCTCTGCTCCCCAGCTTAGCTTCGGCCTCTGCTTTCTCCTTAGCTCGGCCCCACTCTGTCTGACCCAGGCAAATCCAGCTCACACGGAGGACGGGACCTCCCTGCCCTCCTGACTCCCTGATTAGCCTGCTCGCCATGTCATTCAGGCTGACCTAGAGCATTGGCCTCTGCCCATTGTTCCTGGGGGCTGTCAGTCTCAGGGTCCTGGTTTCCCATAGACCCTTCCCCTTTTAGTACTGGGAGCTTGCAAACCAAAACACCCCCCCCTGAATGTTAGTAAGGGGGCAACAGTCCCCTAACACAAAGATGAGTAAGAAAGTCAACAGACAGAGCTTATCTATGGGAAGCAAATCTTGATGCATGCAGAGGAATCCGTTGAAGGCACTGGGACTACTCACAGCATGTAAAGTTAAGCAAACGTCTAAGCTGAGCAATGAGTCTTCACAGGAAGAGGGCCTAATATAATGCCCAAGGTGATTCAAAAATAGAATCCTGATATATGATTTTGGATGTAGAAGAGTTTAGAAATAGAAATCACTTTACTGTACTTAAGGGAAATTCTTTGCAGTGCTGACATTTCTGTTTGTTTTAAAAGAAGAATATAAATACCAATGAATAAAAGAAATGAAACAAACAAAGAATCTATTAAAGGTGCCCCAAGAGTAAGCAGCAGTAAGAGACACATGCTTTTACAAAATTGTTTACAGTCATTGCTTTTGTTATTCCTAGTGGCAATTCTTAGCCCATGTATTAATAAATCTCTTTGGGTCCTTCTGGAAAATTGGGCCTTTCGTTAAGAAACCCAGTAAGCACACTCACTTTTGGGAGTGTCTTAGGAATCAACTTGAAGTTTTTGTTTAAAGCCCACTTTTGCAAAACTTTACCATTAATAAAAAAATTTCATTCATTCAAAAAAGAAGTAAACAAAACCAGTTTTTGGTGTAGGTGAAGGCATCCCCCTTCAGAGTTTGCAGCACAAGACAGCTGGGTTCCAGTGCATAAGAACCAGTGGGTATGATTGATTAGAAATTTACCAGCCACAAAGATTTTAGTAGAAGCTTTTCTTTATCTAAGCTGTATAAATAATAATATTTAGCACTTATAGAACCTCTTCTAGCTGCAGATATCAAAGCACTTAATAAACATTCATTAACTCAGCCTCACAAAGTCCCTGTGAGATAGGTACATTAAATATTATCCCAATTAGCAGATAAGGAAACAGAGGCAGAGAAAGGTTTTAGGGCTCCAACCAAAGCTCCCTTAAGGGAAGGTCTCCAATCAGGGCTCTATAATCTGCTTTGCTCTCACTCTTTGTAGGAGACAGGAAGGGGCAGGACACAGTGCATGGGACACTGCCAGATCCTACACAGCTGGTGTAACATACAGCAGCCTTTAGGCTATTCTAAATTTCACCTAGGGCCTCAGCTCAACCCAGGATCAAGAGAGAAGCAAAGTGGCTTAGAGCCATCTTTTCCACCCCACCTCTCTCCTCAGTACAACTGAGGACTGAGCTCAGAATTTGGTAGTTTCACATTACATGTGAAAATTTTCAGGCAGTTGTCACCTTATTCACCAGACCCTTATCTAGCGGGTGAAGACATTTCCTTCAGCTCAGTCAATACTTCAGTGCAACATAAGGTTGTCTTCAGTCTTTTCTCACGCTGTTATTAAGCACTGCAGCAAAGACTGGGGCTGTTGTACAACAATACCTCAATGAGCGGATCAACGTTTAAAGAATATGTATAACCAATAACTATTTATTCCCTTTGTATTTATCTTGAAAAACTCTTGAAAATTATCTTGGCCTATTGATACAATTCATTTGGATTCTCCACCAGGCCATTATCTGTACTTTTTTCATACTCTCTGGCCTTCATTCTGTACTCTATCCTGTCCTCTGTACCTGATGTTTCTTTGCATTTGCTTCTTATCCTTAATTACTCTTTGCATTTCATTGTTTCTCCACATTGGCTTTTTGCTTTAAACTCCAGCTATATTTAATGGTAGATGACACGCAAAGCCTTTGGGCACACATTAATTTATCGCTGAACATTTCCTCTTTCCCCTCAGTCTTCTTTCCCTCTGTTGCTTCATCCAATTCAATTTCACTCATCGCCATGTTTCCCCCCAATTCTTCCAAAACTCACTCCGCTAAAATTCAGTGTCCTCATTTCATCCCTTTCTCTTTTTAATTTTACTTAGTAACCTAAATTATTACTTGCACCTGTCCATTTTCAGTCATGTCCCTCTAGGTCAAGTTCTTATCAAGTAGTTGAAACCTCATCACAATTAGTTTCTTTACATCAGAGACCTTTTTTATTGTTTGGCTATCCCACTATATTGAATACAACAGAAATGCCAATCACAGTGCGTTGGTGTGGGGGGTGCTGAACGTGGACTGGAATTTTCAATGATGCCTCTCGGAGCTAGGGCAGAGGCTCTCAATCTTTCCAGACTACTGTACCCCTTTCAGGAGTCTGATTTGTCCTGCATACCCCAAATTTCATCTCACTTAAAAACTACTTGCTTACAAAATCAGACATAAAAATACAAAAGTACAGCACACTATAACTGAAAAATTGTTTCCTTTCTCATTTTTATCATATAATTATAAAATAAACCACTTGGAATATAAATATTGTACTTTCATTTCAGTGTATAACATATTAGGTCCCTTCCAACCCTGATATTCTATGATTCTATGATATAAAGCAGTATAATCAAGTTATTGTCTGTATGAAATTTTAATTTGTACTGAATTTGCTAGTGCTTTTTATGTGTCCTGTTGTAAAAATAGGCAAATATCTAGATGAGTTGATGTACCCGCTGGAAGACCTCTGAGTACCCCCAGGGGTACACATTCCCCTGGTTGAGAACCACGGAGACGCTACCAACATAGTTCCTCACCATAGTTATGCCAACAGAACCCCATAATACAGATGACATTCCACTCATGGTAGGGTTTTCTGTAGGTGCAGGAACACTACCTCCCCACGCAACGGTAGCTACATCGACAGAAGCATTCTTCTGTTGACATAGCTGCATCTTTAGTAGGGGTTAGGTCAGCACAGCTATGTTGGTCCGGGGGTTTTCATGCCCCTGACTGACATAGCTATGTCGACCTAACTTTTAAGTGTAGAGCAGGCCTTAGGTGCCTAAATTGCATCACCTTTCAATGGAACTTGCACATAACTCCTTTAGCCACCTTTGAAAAATCCCACCCCCTACACTTCAGCTATAGAAAAAACATTAGTTAGGGCCAAATACAGCAACTGATCTACTCTCAAAGCTCCCATTGATTCAATGGGAGTACTGCACACAGAATGACCACAGGATGTTAGTCAACATTAGCCACTGGCTCCAAGATTGAAAAGCTTTGCTTTAGCTCTGAGAGCAATACTTGGAGAGATATCAGGCAAATTCAGTTCTGATCTAAGTGGGAACAACTCTTTCCCCATTCTTCTAAGTATATATTGGTCCCGCCACTCCATAAAGGGGTGACAAGGGGCTGCCACAGCTCAGCTGAGTAAGGCAAAGGCCATTGCCACTGGAACAGAAAACACATAAAACAAGCTGCTGTCTTTAAAATAAAAGATCTGGGGCTTTAGCCAAGCCCAGTGCTAGGAGCCTGATCCTGCAAGGTGCTGAGCACCCTCAGCTCTCACTGAAGTCAATGGAAGTTGTGAAACCGACTTTGTCATTTTTTTCGGTGTTGACATTCTTTTCTTCAGGTTTGGAGATGCATAAGTAGGAGGGCAGGGCAAGGCAAGCAACCTGGTCTCATTTCCCCAGCAGGAGTGCCAGGGGGACTGCAGGTGAAAGGGGGGGGGGGGCCCAGCTTGCTCTGGCCCAGGGCCCCACAAAACCTTAATCCGCCCCTGTGAATAGGAACACAGGACATAGCACTGGAAGGGACTGGGTCACTGCGTGCAGACCTCTGCTTTTGCAAGCAACCCGCCCTATAACCCCAGCTGTTAAGCGCAATCTCTGTAATATAACACCCAGAGAGTGAGAAGACAGACAGGCAGATAGACAGACTCATGGGTACACACCACACAGGTTTATCCTTTTAAATTTTCTTCTGGGCCAGCATGGGACTACAACTGTACCCAAGAAAGGGGCAGTTTAGTGTTTTAATTTGTTTATGGAATAGAGTCAGATCCCATCGATGCTCCAACTTTTCACTGTGTTGTAATTGCTTTGGCAAAAGCCATGCAATATGCAGGTCCCCTGACTCAGTTGTAGGTTAAAATGGGGCTTTAGCATTTTGCTGTCATTAAATCCTGGCAGAGATTTGTCGACAGAAGTTGCTAAATATCCTGCGAAAATGTGATAATTTTTAGTCTATCTTCCATGCATTGGCAAAACTTCCTTGGAGACAGGAGAGTTATGAGAGTTACCAAGGACAGAAGAGAACTCCCAAATGATTTTGAATCTGGTTTAACTAACTCAGTTTTTGCCTATGCTGATAACAGATGTCATTTCCCCAGTAATCGAAAGCCCTGCCAGTAATTTTTCCATTAAGAAAGTCTCCTTAAGACACTTCTAAGTACAATCAGGCACTTTTGTGATCACATATTTTTGCAGAATCATTTACATCGATTACTTTTACTGTTCGTGGCGTTCTGACACCTCTCTGACACCAAAGCTCCTTTATGAATATGAAGAATACTATTAGTTCTTATAGTACCAAAGCAATAATTTCACCCAATTCCACTCCCTCTGAAACCAAGGGTAAAATTCCTCTTTACTTCAATGACAGCAGGACTGGGCCCACTACTACACCTATTACTTGGCCAGGATGGAGATGTTATCACCCCACTGGAGCTACATTACAAGCTATTTCAATGCCCATTATCTGGCCAATATTAAAAACAGATTATCTGCTGCTATTTCCATCAGTTAAGGGTGAAATTCTGCCAGTGTGTGTGTGTGAGTGTGTGGCGGGGAGGCCAAGTGAACTCAAAAGGAGCCCCCATGGAATGCTGACAGCAGGATTTGGCCTTATCTTGACCTGTTCTTTTTTTTTGGTGGTAGTAGTACAGAAACATTTCAAAACTATCACTCTGTCGCAGTGAAGTCACTTTCCTTATTGATGAAGCATCAGCAGCTCTGTCAATGCGCTCGCTCGGATCCAAACCCCACAGGAGTCAGTGGAAAGACTCCCATTGACTTCAGTGGGCTTTGGATCTGGCCCTAAGATCCCAATCCTGCATGCCATTCCCTATGATCCCTTGGGCTCCAAACTGTTATGTAAAGAGAAGAAGATGGTGATGATAATGATGATTACGCTCACTCATAACAGACCAATTCATTAATATGGTATCTGGACACATTCTGTGAGTGTTACTTGTATGTTACAGATACAAGAAGAGACAGCTAGTGGCCTGAACACCACAGGGCTACATATCTAGTGGTCTCTAACGGTGGCCAGTCTGAGGCTGGGACATATTTCCAGCAGGAGGGAATTTCAAAGGCAATGATCCACTAATAAGAATCTTGACCATGAGCTCCATCCACACTGCATCATTAGACTAAGGGCTTGTCTACACTACCGCTTAAGTTGATGTAAGTTACGTCACACGGGGTGTGAAAAAGCCACCCCGCGAGTGATGTAATTTACATCAACTTAAAGGGGTGTCTACACCATGCTTGTCGAGGATGTAGCGCAGTAGTGAAGACAAGCCCTAAGCATGTGCACTGCCTGTAGCGTGGCCCTAATCCACACATTTCCCAGTCACAGTTAGTTTTACACTCTCACTCAAACCAGTTCATCTAGAACAAAACAAATAATTGCAAGAGACACTTTCCACGGTGACACAGCCTACCTTGGTACTGTCCAAAGAGTCTTTGTGTACAAACGCCTGCACAAATTCTTCAGGCCCAATGTGACTGAGCCTTTCCTTTTGAGAGAGAGAGAGCAAGAGTAATCTCCAGAATCTCTTATTTTTGGCTTTGCAAGACTTCAGCTTTACTAGCCAAGTTTTGGCATCAGGTTGAAATGGGACTTTAATGAAGTGCTATGCAGCCAGCAAGTTCCCCACTTTAATTTTCATAAAAACAATCAATGTTACTGCAACAGAAACAGAGGAGTGATAAACAGGGGAGAATAAAATCATCTCACTACCTCCAGCCAACAGAATATAAATAGCTTGTGGTGGTGATAAACCACACTGAAGACCTGTCTGTATTGTTCATAAAACGGAGGGCTCATGACCTAGTGGCGAAGTCACTGGGCTGGGAGCCATTAGACCTGGGTTCTGTTCCTGGCTTTGCTGCTGACCTGCTGTGTAACTTTGGGTGAGTCACTGCCCCTCTCAGTATCTCCATTTCCCTGCCCATAAAAGGGGGATAAACAATGTGATCTCCAGTGATAAGTAAAAGCTAAGTACATATTGCTTTGGCCCTTACTACTACTGCGCTTGCTGAAGGGGGCCAAAGGTAGCCTGGTGCCCAAGCGTACTGACTGTATGCAAATGGAGGAAATATGGCAATGAAGATGCATGCACCTAAATACCAGGAGAGCATCATTCCAGTGTCAAAATTAGAAGTAAATAATGTATTGAACTGACAGCTAAAGGACTAGGGATGTCCAATAGCTATAAAACTCTGGCACATCCTCATACATCTCAACTCTCACTGCCTAGGAGGGACAGTTGTGTTCTTTTCCCCCCATCATGACTAAGTGTCACTAGAATGGCAAGAGGTGTTACAGGTTAAAAAAGAAGCTAGTGTTTGCGATCCTGCCTGCACAGGATATCAGTTTAGCTCCCCAAAGAATCAGGCTCCCTGACACAAGCTCAAAGGGAGCACAAAGTAATATTTGCTTGGCATTAGCTCTGCATGTTTGGTCGAAATGAGACATTTCACAGGGAAAGGATTTCATTTGGAAAGGAATGATCATTGCAAACGATGAGTGCTCCTGTCCTACAGCTAACAAAGCTTCTCCTTCTACACTGGAGAGAGCTACTTCCTACTGCCCCATAGCTTTGTCTCTGGGATTTGCTGTCTGTCAATACATTTCAAATGGATTTAGAAAGCATGAAGTAAGATGTGATATTTTACAGGAGTTGACATCGGCATCACAACTGATTATACCAAGGCTGGCTGCTACTAAGTTCTTAATGAACTGAGCCCTACAGGCCAAGTTCTGATCTTGGTTACATTCGTGTCACTCCCTTTGACTTGCACATGTGCCCAAGGTCACACTTTATCCAATATGTGGAAGTAGGATAGAACATTAGTTACATTAGCTACCTCTTGTTATTATCATGCCAATGTGGCCTAGTGGGTAGAGCACCAGACTGGGTCTCCGGAGACCTGGGTTCTAGTTCGAGCTCTTCTGTTGGCCTGTTGGGTGACCTTGGGCAAGTCACTTCCTCTCTGTGTGCCTCAGTTTCCTCATCTGTAAAATGGAAATAATGATACTGACCTCCTTTGTAAAGCTCTTTGAGTCTACTGATAAAAAGCTCTATAGAAGAGTGTGGCAGCCAGGCTGGAACACAATGGCCCTTGCCATGAGCTCAGTGTCAGCCTTTAAATGGTTAAACAATAAACTCAAAATCTGGCTGTAGGTGCCTTTAATTATTGAACAAACACAAATGGTAACTGCTTAGTCACAGTGCGTTATGACCCAGGCTTGTGAACTAGTACAGTGATTCTCAACCATGGATCACTGCAGTCCCATCATCTCATTTTAGAGTCAAGTTGTTCTGTGGGGAAAAAAACAAACAAACAAACCCTGCCACAAAAGGCTTCCGCAGTCTCTGGTGCTGTTTAGTTAGAGCTCCAGAAAGCTAGGAGGGCCAAAGTCACATATGCTGAAAACCAACCTTTTGGTTGGTGGATCCTATAGATGAAGCCTATAATTCATGGGTTTCCTTCCTAGAGATTCCTCTTGGAGGAGTAGAATATGGCCAACTGTGGGATTAGAAAACTTTCGAGTTCCATAATATTCCCCCCAACCCTTCATCCCTACACAGTTTCACCTTTTTTTTTTCTTTAAAGTTATTTTCCATTCAGGTGAACAGAGAAAAATAGGCTTAGGGCTCCAGAAGTGAACAGTGCCCTCCCAGGTTTAAGCTTAAGGGTATCAAGAGGTTTGAGGACAGATGCAGCGTTGTGGAGCAGCAGTGAGGTTATGATGCACCACCACATAATCTGATGCCCAAATAAATCTGTTAGTCTTTAAAGTGCCACCAGACTCCTGGGGTTTTTTTCACATAATCTTTGAAAGGAGGAGGTAGGACACCCATGCGGTGAACCTGACACTGCATGGGAGAGAAGGCTTCGGGTCACCCAACCACCTTGAAGAAACTGCCCCCGTCACCGCCAGAAGAGGGAGCAACAATCATCAAAAGTCTGCTGAGGAGTGGATTGGGTGGGGAGAAGGGAGACAGTAGGACTGGGTGGGCGCACAGGTACCTGAAGTCTCATAAGTTCAGGTCTATGAAACTGAGGAAGGAAAAACACCAACAAACGAAGATGCTTGTGTAGCAGAAAATTGGGTCTGAGTAATGTAAAAGCTTGAATATGGAACAAAATTGGGATGAAAGAGGTCAGCCATTCCACAGCACCTTCCATTCAAGGGGCTCAAAGCACTTTGCAAATGGAACTGAACTAAATTCACTGGGAAGCAGATGAGCAAACTGAGGGAGAGGAAGAGGTTAAGTGACCTGCTCATAGTCACAGGACGATGCACATACCCTGCTTCTCAGTCCTCCGCTCTAATCCACTAACCATGCTTCTTCCTGCAGTATTGATACTGTTCTAACTATGCTGCAGCAGCGTATGTATTTCACTTGGGTTTTGACGACACAGCTACTGCTGGGCTTTAAAATGCCACCTTTGAAATCAAAGTTAGGAATTCCACATGTGTTGCACTTACCAATTCCACATGTGTTAGCTGCTGAGCCAGAGTGTAAGGGTCACTACAGACGGTCAGGATTTCTCTCTGAATTGACGGCGGTTTACTTTTAAAGGCAACCAGCTTGTCAGAGACAGCAGCATTGATCTTGACTATTCCTTCCTGCCCGTGGCTAAGGGTTGCAAGCTTCTGATTCAGGGCTTGCAAAAGCTGATTCATCCTTTTCCAGTAGGCCTGGAGAGGAAAAACAAAAACTAAGGAGGAGATAAACATACAAAAGCCACAGGCCTCGACAATGGTGTATTTTAATTTTCCTACCCCAAAATATCCATAAACTAGCACTGGGCTACCATCCGATTTTCACCAAGACGATTTCAGAACAGCCAGTCGACTTAATTATAGTTCTGCCCGCCAGCTCTGCACCACAGAATCAGCCTCCAGGCAGGTGTGCAAGCAAGCTGTGCTCCTTTGTGCCAGCCCAACCCATTGACCAGCGCCACCACAGACTGGTCAGCAAGGATGATAAAAGGATCAGGAAAGAGAGGTGGAGCCACTAAAGTGAGCAGCTCCAGATTTCGACCAATTGTAACAGACAGCAGAAGTTGGCCCTTAATTTCCATTTAGTAGTTGCCATGCCAAGGACTCTACTTCTTAGCGATGGCTTGTCATAATGAATATGGCTAATGCTATTCATAGCGCTCTACATCCCTCTGTTTTGCACAACGTCCCAACACAGTGGGGCTCGCTGCTTGCAATGGATGGCCATGTCAGGAAGGACGGAGCACTTCATAGATGTCAGCAGTTAATACACAAATAGTTCATTTCTTTAAGCAATAAAGCTTATATTATTGTATTCCTATCACAGCAACACACTCGGGAGGCATAGTCATTCCTGGGCAGCCTAGGCTGATGTCAGATGTGGTGCTACATGTCATACTGCAACCTAGAGGAGCTGGGGGTCACGAAAGAGGGGCTGGAATGCTCTTGGAACACACCCATGACTGACAGATGCAAATGCTGTAAAACTGAAACACCTGGGAAATGGTTTGATGGATTCTCTAGACAGAGATTTTCATTTAATAAGGCCAGGCCAGAATCGATGGGAACATTTCACAGCTGTGAAATGTTCCAAGGATGAAAGTCCATGGGAGCCGCTCAGCTTAGCTGCGTGTGGCCACACAAAGCTCTCCCCTCCCCTGCATCCTGAAGTACGGCAGAGCAGGGCAATGCTCCGTGGGCTCACCTTGCTGTTGTTTTAAGCATAAGTTATGCATGCACTCTCTGTTTGTTGATGGCAGCACATCCCCCAGCTGTGGTGGGCTGGTCCCTACTCACTTGCACACACCATGGGCACTTGGGGCATGGTTTGCAGGGTGGCTTATTAGCAACTATACCTCACAGCACATTCTGATGTGCTACAGAGGGATACTTATCTGGCTGCTTGTAAGAAGGAGAACCCCCTACTCCTCATCCAAATGGAGAAAATTTAGCCTACATATATTTTATATGTTACTGAGCTAACACAGTGCAGCTCTCTTTGTCCCCCTCTATGGCAAAACTAGGAATAGCAGTTTGAGTCTGCAATTGCCTCTGAGCTTTGATCCTTCAGTTTAAGCAGTAAAACCGTGAGTTTCTAGACAGAGAGGCCCTGGGTTCAATCCTGCAGATGATTCATTCAAGGAGGTTGCTACATAAACATGATCTGGGATTTAAAGACCGCTTTGCAGTTCACTCACAGCTACACTGTAACCACCTGCAAACCTCCCAAACACATTCTAAGAACATCTCACATAGCAGTTTCCCCTTGGAAGAGACACAATCAATGTTTTGTATTCCTGGCGCTCACATTTTAAGTGGGCAATTCCTCAGGGCCCAGGCTCAGTAGGTGTGGTCCATGGTGCTCATTACTTCAAGGAATAAAATAAGGTGCTTACATCCACTCTGCTTTCACTACAATCAAGGTGAGAGGCTGCAAATCCCTAGCACATCTACAGCACTTCAAAGCCTGCCATAAGACTTTCATTATTTCTCTGTCAGTTAATGGCTTTTCTAACAGAAGGAAAGAGATACTGAGTTTGCTCATTCTGCTCATGTGAGTAGCCTACATCATTCAATGGACTGCAGCAAGTCAGGTGAACAGGATTTGGCTTTACTATTCCTTAATCAGTAGCTGGGGAGCATGAATCAGCATTCACGTCACACTCCCCATCAGTACCCAGCCCAGGCTGGGGAAGCTAATGATCCAACCAGCGGACCAAATTCAGGCCACGTGCCAGCTGAGGGCTGTTGCACATACGCTAGGAAGAATCAGTAGCTGATGAGCCTAGTATACTGTGAAGACCTTGAGGGGTGGGTAGGTAACTCTTGGAAATCGCTGGACACGCATTCTATTTCAAAATAATGCTGCTTAGGTATCACTGGGTTTTTTGCCTCTCTCTTCATTCTCTGGCCTTGTCTACACTACAAAGTAGTGTCAGCAAAAGTTATGCTGCTTTAGGCTATGTCTACACTGGCAATTGAGTGACAAAACTTTTGTTGTTCAGAGGTGCTAGCCACCCCAGCTCCCGAAAGACAAAAGTCTTGCCACGGCAAGTGTCAGTGTGAACACGCGTCCTGTCGACAACGCGAACGCCGCTCGTTGGGGGTGGAAGTATTCTGTCGGCACAAACAGCGGCTACGCTGCCCGACTTTCAGCAGCTGCGTCAACTTGGCCGTGTCACTAAAAGCTGTGTAGTGTAGACATAGCCGTAATTAAAGCGCTTTAATTAAAATCACTGTTGCATGTCCACAATAGCTCCTTGTGTCAGCAAAGCGCATCCATACTAGCAGCTCTTGCATCGACCCAGAGAGCTCAGCATGGTGGGCAGCTGAGGTGGTTGCCAGGTGGTTGCCTGGTGGTTGCCATGGCTGCCAGGTGCTTTGGGAAGGGTTTGCAATGCCTCATGGGGCAGGCACAGGGTCACATGATGCAGGTTTCTCAATCCCATCCTTCCGGGGAGCATCCTAGTAGATTGTCAGCGGCTTTTTCAAGTGAAGTGTGGCCGGGGGGGGGGGGGGGGGGGGAAGAGGAGAATGGAGTGTCTGGGGTGGGGGGAGATGAACACCCCCCACACCTCAGCCCCCAGCTCTGCTCAGCACAGCAGTCTCTCCCGAAGCAGCCCGCTCTGCCTGCCTATGGTTCTGTGATTCCCTCTGAGTTCTCCCACAGCCTCTGCTGGGAGCAGCACCCTAAGCAACTCTAAAAAGAAAAGGAGGACTTGTAGCACCTTAGAGACTAACCAATTTATTTGAGCATGAGCTTTCGTGAGCTACAGCTCACTTCATCAGATAAGTGAGCTGTAGCTCACAAAAGCTCATGCTCAAATAAATTGGTTAGTCTCTAAGGTGCTACAAGTCCTCCTTTTCTTTTTGCGAATACAGACTAGCACGGCTGTTACTCTGAAACCTAAGCAACTCTGTAAGCTCTCCTTGCTGAGGAATGTCAAAGCAGCCCAGCGGTTCCCCGGCTCCCTGCAGCAGCAATCGACCCCTGTGTTCCTCTTGCCGGGCAGAACAGGAGCATTCCACATTAATGCTTTGCTCTTTGTTCCCCAAAGGGAGCAACACACTCAGCTGTCAGACACTTCCTGGAGCTTTGAAAGGGGAGGGGTGCATGCCTGCAGGGCAGCAGAGATCAACACAGTGAGCAGAGCGGTCATGGCAGGCATTGTGGGATACTGGTGAAAGCCAGTTCTGTCGACAAAACTAACAGCGGTGTCTACACTGATGCGTTGTCAGTTTAACTTTTCGGCAAAAAGCTTTATGCTTCTCGTTGAGGTGGTTTGGTTTTGTCGGCAAAACAGCAGAGTTTTGCCACCAATAGTAGCTTTGTAGTGTGGACACCTCCCCTGTTTTGCCGGCAAAAGGCAGCTTTTGCCAACAAAACTTTGTAGTGTTTACAAGGCCTTTCAGAGTAACAGCCATGTTAGTCTGTATTCGCAAAAAGAAAAGGAGTACTTGTGGCACCTTAGAGACTAACCAATTTATTTGAGCATGAGCTTTCGTATGCATCCGATGAAGTGAGCTGTAGCTCACGAAAGCTCATGCTCAAATAAATTGGTTAGTCTCTAAGGTGCCACAAGTACTCCTTTTCTTTTTACAAGGCCTTTGTTACTAAGGCTACTTCTATGAAAACAAGAACCTTTGTTTCGTTAGATAACAAAGATTTTTCCAGCATGCTGCTTACTGGCTCTGATGCAAGAGAGCTCACCAAACTTCTCTCTCATATGTCACCAGGTGCCCAGAAGGCAGAGCTTTTGGTTACCGCAGACTGGGCTGGCTCTGGAGCAGTGAAGGGTGTCTGAACACTTTCTGTGGTTTATGCCCATATGGGCTTGCACACGTCTCTGCTGGTTTTGAATCTCAGTGAATAGATCTGGTTGAAAAATGGGTTTCTCTCTCCCTGCAGAAAATGTTGATTTTTCAGTAGAAATTCAAATACCAAGACATTTTGGCTGGAAATCAAAATATTTCCATTTTTGACTGAAGTATTTTGGTTTTGGGGCATTTGTTTTTCAGAAAGAAAAAGTCTACAGAAAGCAGACAATTTTTGGAAAAATGTTTCACTCAGTTGAAAATCCAATTTTCCATTAAAATAAAATGTTTTGACAAAAATTTTATGTATCCTACCTCTAGGATAACCAATTCCTGACTGTTTTTATGCAAAGCAATAAACCAACCCAGCATTGCTTGAACAATTCAGGAACATTAGCAAACCTTTTCACAAACCTTGGTCTACATTTGTAGTTTCCCCGCTTTTGTAGTGAACATTTCACACAGATGTAGAAATAGGCCACAGAAAACAAAGATTCATATAAATGTCCCAGATAATATATAAAGAAGAGAGTGACACTGAACATACATAAGCAGGAATATTTCTAAATAAAATTTCTCCAAGAAACTCATTGAAAAAAGAGAGTTACACTCATTTTGCTCAGTGCATTTCCTTGTATTTGTGAACTGCCTTATAGCTTTTGCCATCACAGAAGGATTTCCAGCCTTGTTTAAACTGTAATCAGCAACTGAAAATAACGTTTTAAATTAGATTCAACACTATATTTTGGAATACTCCTGCTGGTAAACATCTTGCCACAAAGTGACACTTGATGATATGGGAGCTAAGTGCTAGAGTAGAGAGCATGCCATCCTACGCTGCTTTGCTGCTAGCTTAACAATTAAAAGAAGAGTGCTATTGT